AGATAGTGATTATACATATGCAAATATGATTATATATTATTGTGTCTATATATATATATATCGTATACTAAGTTTGTTGCATTTTAGCAGTAGTGATTATACTCGTACAGAATATATAGTGATTTAACCAACACAAACGTTGATTTACAGTAAGCAACACAAATGTTGATTTAAGCAACACAAATGATGGTTTAAATGGTTTAAACGAGGAACATGGTGATTCAAACAAGAAGAAAAAAGAACTGGATACAATGGGGATACATCTGGGTGATTTAAGTAACAACCTCACGTCGCAACGTCACTGGAACAGAATTGCTAGTGGTTAGGAGAAAAGAATCACCAGATCGATGGCCCAGAAATTCAGGTTGGTGAATTGTTAGGTATCTAGAGTGTGGATATGCAAATGATTTATACCCACCAAATGGCAATTTGGATAGGGAATATCATGATAAACCATGGGATGTTTGGGGTAGCCTATTTTCAGACAAAGCCAAATTAAATGGATTCATGAATGTCACCATATCACCATCGATAGCGGGCAGCTCGCACATGATGGATCTTCATGTGCGCTTTGCAATGATGTGTACGGGTGAGAACGATTGGATATCACAAAGCAAACATGGTGAGTATTGGCTTCTTGGTGATACCAACCCTCGAGTATGGAGAGTAGTCCCATCGCCCCAATACTAAACAGAAAAAATGGTCCCACAGATATTGGTCGACCATCCCACGGATAATTTGAGGGAGCCCTACTTTAGGAACCCGCATGAAAGCCCTAAATTGTACAGGATGGGCCCCCCCAGTTATAAGTTGGTTTATAAACTCCCAGTAACTAGTTCGTGATAATTAGTGATATCTACCATAAACCATAGAATTCAGCCACTTAGAACGCAATTTAACGCTATCTTGGGGGCCCCAGCTTGGATTTTGGGGAATCATCAGCCATGGGGGTACCCCAATAGCTCGCTGGATGGTTTATTTCAGGGAAAATCCCATGAAAATGGATATAAATGGATGATGACTGGGGGTAGCCTCATGACTCAGGAAAGTTATAAAGCTCCATTCTGGGGTACTGGAATCCGGGAATCCGGGTGCCTTAAGCTTTTGACTTTTGTGGAAAATCTCCATGCTTTGGAGACACTGTGTCCGGAACAGACCCCAACCACTCCAGGTTAATCGACATCTGCGTGTGGATCCCTAGACCTTGTCACCATGAGGGTTGATGAATGCAACTGATACCCTCTGGTAAACTAACAGTTTGCTGTTGAGTTTATCACTATTTTTAGTGTTTTTTTCTCCACGAACTAAATGACAATTTTCAATAGCAAACTGTTAGTCATTACCAGAGGGTAAGTATTTGAGTGTGACGAGTTTCTTCATTTTCTGCTCGGGAAGGTGCCGGATTTTACCTTTTCAATTCGTGACATGAGGCCCTGGACGCCTCAGAATTCTCAATCATTTCACGACTCCATCTTTGGGAAAATGAAGGTATGATAATTTAAGGGCTAACGCCCCCTGCCGCCGACCCCTGGAAAAGAACGCGAAGAAGCGGAGGACATCGTGACCGAGGACCGGATAGGGATCATTAGTCTCCTGCACAGGGAGCAGAGCCCTGAATAGGGGCCATATATATATAAACTCCTGAACAGGGAGGGCCTCGCAGAGAGGCATTTATGGGGAGATCTGGGGAGTAGTGTGGCATATAGTGTATGTGTCTCTCTGTGTGTGTGTGTGTGTGGGTGTGTATGTGGGCGTGTGTGTGTGTGTGTGGGTGTGTGTGTGTGGGTGTGTATGTGGGCGTATGTGCGTGTGTGTCGGGAATGCAAAACCAGCCAATGGCAGGTGGCCAAGCCGCGTGAACCTGGCCCGTCCTAACGACGCGTTCGGAAACCCTTAGAAAAGTAGCTCTAGAAGCTGCCGGCTGCCACCTTTGCCGGGCGCATGCGAAACAGCGCAACAGCAGGGCCTGCTGGTCCCAACCGCGTGTCCCAAGGCCAGGCGCCACTGCCTAACGTTGGTTTCTGAAGCCCTTATAGAAAAGTATAGCTCTGAGAGCTGCCGGCTGCCACCTTTGCCGGGCGCATGCGAAACAGCGAAACAGCAGGGCCTGCTGGTCCCAACCGCGTGTCCCAAGGCCAGGCGCCACTGCCTAACGTTGCTTTCCGAAGCCCTTAGAAAAGTAGCTCTGGAAGCTGCCGGCTGCCACCTTTGCCGGGCGCATGCGAAACAGCGAAACAGCAGGGCCTGCTGGTCCCAACCGCGTGTCCCAAGGCCAGGCGCCACTGCCTAACGTTGCTTTCTGAAGCCCTTAGAAAAGTAGCTCTGGAAGCTGCCGGCTGCCACCTTTGCCGGGCGCATGCGAAACAGCGAAACAGCAAGGCCTGCTGGTCCCAACCGCGTGTCCCAAGGCCAGGCGCCAGTCCTAACGTTGCTTTCTGAAGCCCTTAGAAAAGTAGCTCTGGAAGCTGCCGACTGCCACCTTTGCCGGGCGCATGCGAAACAGCGAAACAGCAGGGCCCTGAGGGACGGACCGGGCCTCCGGGCAACGGCCCCCACTGCCTAACGTCACTTTCTGACCCTACAAGAAATCTAGCTGTCTTCCAGCCGCCGCAGCTCACAAACGGCGCATCCGAAACAGCGAAACAGCAGGGCCCTGAGGGACGGACCGGGCCTCCGGGCAACGGCCCCCACTGCCTAACGTCACTTTCTGACCCTACAAAAAATCTAGCTGTCTTCCAGCCGCCGAGGCTCACAAACGGCGCATCCGAAACAGCGAAACAGCAGGGCCCTGAGGGACGGACCGGGCCTCGGGCAACGGGGCGAAACAGCAGGGCCATGCTGGTCCCAACCGCGTGTCCCAAGGCCAGGCGCCACTGCCTAACGTTGCTTTCCGAAGCCCTTAGAAAAGTAGCTCTGGAAGCTGCCGGCTGCCACCTTTGCCGGGCGCATGCGAAACAGCGAAACAGCAGGGCCTGCTGTTCCCGCTTTGGAAGCTGCCGGCTGCCACCTTTGCCGGGCGCATGCGAAACAGCGAAATAGCAGGGCCTGCTGGTCCCAACCGCGTGTCCCAAGGCCAGGCTCCACTGCCTAACGTTGCTTTCTGAAGCCCTTAGAAAAGTAGCTCTGGAAGCTGCCGGCTGCCACCTTTGCCGGGCATGCGAAACAGCGAAACAGCAGGGCCTGCTGGTCCCAACCGCGTGTCCCAAGGCCAGGCGCCAGTGCCTAACGTGGCTTTCTGAAGCCCTTAGAAAACTAGCTCTGGAAGCTGCCGGCTGCCACCTTTGCCGGGCGCATGCGAAACAGCGCAACAGCAGGGCCTGCTGGTCCCAACCGCGTGTCCCAAGGCCAGGCGCCACTGCCTAACGTTGCTTTCTGAAGCCCTTAGAAAAGTAGCTCTAAGAGCTGCCGGCTGCCACCTTTGCCGGGCGCATGCGAAACAGCGAAACAGCAGGGCCTGCTGGTCCCAACCGCGTGTCCCAAGGCCAGGCGCCAGTGCCTAACGTTGCTTTCTGAAGCCCTTAGAAAAGTAGCTCTGGAAGCTGCCGACTGCCACCTTTGCCGGGCGCATGCGAAACAGCGAAACAGCAGGGCCTCCTGGTCCCAA